ACATGGGTTGTTCATCGCCCGAATCAGTCTATAGGCTGGGCCTTAATGGCTTGTAGGCGTAGCTCGATCAAACTCGAGCACGGAAACCCACAAACAACTTCGAGCCCTCATTCTGGGGACCCAACAAGCGCACGACGCTACTTCAAGCCTAGCCCCTCGTATGGATGCAACCTTCAATAATGTGTCTGGGTGTTTTACTGGGCTCCCGTATCCAGCGCAATGTCTGAGCTCCTAACCTTTAGCCCCTCACAGCTTACCCCTTGCACCCCCATGAATCCCTAAACCTCAGACCCATGAACCATGAAGCGGTTGACGCCCAAACCCTTGTGCGCCTGGCCAGCCCTCTCAAACCAATGCCATCGCGATGGGATCTGGGATCTACCATGTAGTGTTGGGGGGGGGGGGGATTCTGGATTTCGGGGTTTAGGATTTAGATTTCCGTTCAGGATTTGGAGTTAAGGGTTTGGGGCATAGATGTGAAGGCTTTGGGATGTCGGGCCTAACCCAAAGTCCCTGAACCCCAAGCCCTCAACCCAAAGTCCCTAAAACCTATGATGGTTTAGGGTTTAGGGTGCCATTCCTTGGTTGAGGGATTCCGGGAAGTCGGGGAAGCCATGCAGTGTCGTCGAGGCCTTAGATGCTCGCTATCCCAATGCTTCAAAGACCGGCCTCCTCGCACCATGGCTTTGGCAAGAATTGGGTTTCCGGCGTCGGGTTCAGGGGTCAGGATATGAGAGCTAGGGTTAGGGTTTAGGGTTTAGGGTAGGGCCTCAGCATATGAGAACTTCCCTGAACCCTAAATCGCAATCCATTAGCGCAAAACCCCCAGGTGCCCATAGACTTCTGCCAGCATAGCTCGCCGAACACTGCTAAAGCATCACGACGACTAGAAACACGAGGACGACCACGACCCCCGCGACCACGACTGCCAGAAGACCACCAAGAATGCACCATGAGCAGACCACAGCCAGAGATCACGAGGAGGCCACCAGGAAACCAACCACCGGGAGAGCAAGAGGAGACCCCAGGAAACCACCTGAGGCGATTGAGACAGAGACATAAACATCAAAGAAAACACACGTGTATCAACACTTACGTGGTTAGGCCTGCCGCTTTTTCGGTGTATGTAGGTCCGCAGATGTACGTATGTATTCTGCATGCAGGTGTGTATGTATCAGGATCTGCAGGCTGCAGGTTATATGGGTTTAGGGTCAATCCACCGTACAAGACAGATCCTCCTTAATCAAGTGAGACTCGCGCCCTAGCGAATGTACCTACTCTTCTTCCTCGCGCAAACTGCTATTTTTGTAATTTCCTTAACTTAAGGCCGTTTTGTGGAGAGTCGAAGCCCTGCAACAATTCGCTCCGTAGCTGTTGGTTTCCTGGAAGAAGAACAAAACTTGGGAGACTTCGGAGTGGTGTGGAGTGGTAGATTACCGGGTCCTTGTCACAGAGCTGAGTTGAAAATGCCATAACAACGAATGTGTGTCAAGGGCTCTGGGCAACCCTAAACCTTGGACCCTAAACCCCCCCAAACAAAAACCTTAACCGTCATTTTGATTTGTCCCTGTTTTCATGGTAATTGACTCTGACGATGACCCTAGAACCAGAAACCCCACGAACCCCAGACTCCAAAGCCCTGAGCCCTAATATAAGGGCCTAAAGAAGAATTACCTATACTCTTTTGGGGGCTCCTTATTACAAGCAAAATATATAACATACCCAAAAAGCCCTATTCAAATTATGAAGGCCCCTACATTAGTTACCTACACCCTCTTGGGTTTTTGATTGTGGGGGGTTTTGGCTTCTGGCTCCAATCAACACCCACAACAAAACTAGGGCCTAAACCCCTACACCCCAAAGCCCTTAAACCCTAAAAGAACCCTAAAGCCCTAAACCCCTCAACCCCTAAACCCTAAGCCCCTAAGCCCCTAAACCCCTAAACCCTAATCTTTGTGCCGTTTTGTGCTCGAGGTTCAGACCCGCGAGGCTGTACTTTGCCGGAGCCAACTCCTGTATCCCCGGCTTTCACCAACACGGCCATCCACTCTGAACCCTGCATAAACTGGGTTCTTGTTCAGGGATTTAGTTTAAGTTACCATCATAGGGATCTATGGTAAATAATGTGGTTTCCTTTTTGTGGTAACTTAAATTAAATCCCTTAACAAGAACCCTGCATAAATCGTCTGTATCCTACCCCGTTTAAGCCCTAAAACACGACATCGACTCGTGGTCGCGGTCTGATCGCTGGACAGGGTCCGTTTCGGTTTGAGGGGGTTTATAGGCGATCAACCCTAAACCCACACCCTAAACTCCAAAACTCTTAAACCCAAAACCCTACACCCTAAACTCCTAAACCCTAACGCCTAAACTCCTAAATCCTAAACCAAGCATCAATCAGAAAATCTCCGGAGCCCTCCTAAGGTAAGACCTGCTGCTAAAGCGGAGCAGGCCGGAATGGACTGAGACGGGTTCTAGACGAGTGTAGGGTTTTGCAGTGCTTAGGTTTTCGATCTTAGGTTGTAGGGTTTGGTTTGGGTTTAGCGGTTTAGGGTTTAGGGTTTCGGGTTTTAGGGCTTAGGCGGGTTAGCGTCAAATTTGGAGGGCTTATAGGGCTTAGGGGCACAGGAACCCAGATAGCCGTACACCCCGTTATCCGGTTTGCCTATACTGCAACTCTACCTTAACTTATGAGGGGCTTTCTGTAATCAGGTTTTCTAGAGTCCTTCATCAAGGGATATTGGACCCTTTGGTTACGATCCCATACTTGAAGGATCACCGGGGCTTAGCACCTAAGTTCATGATTGTCGTGATACTGTGAGACCCTCCCCTTGTTGGGAATCCACTTTTCCCGGTTCTGTTGCCCGAAGGGTCCATGTACCAAAATAGTAGATACTTTGGCCTTAAAGTAGTCCCTATTTGGCATGTGCTCCCCTGCCTCTCACCTCTTCTATGTAGGGTTTCTTGGTCAGGACAGTAGCGTTCCAGCAGCAGGACCCTGCAACGATCGGAGAGGTGCTGCCGAGACGACGGCTGGCACTTCTCCACAACTATTGCTGGGGCAAGAACCTCTCCTATTCGAACGATGGTCGGCTAGATCGAAACATTCTACGATCTCCCGGTGTTGTAAGACATCTTACAGTGCTAAGCGCTACACCCAAAACCAAAGCCCCAGACGTTTAGACCGTAAAACACCACACCCTAAAGCCTTAAAGCCTTTGACCCCTTGAGCCATGTTGAACCCTTGGAACTCTTTAAAGGAACCTTATAGAATCCTTATAGCCCTAACCCCCCGACCCTAAACCCCTGAACTCCAATGGTTCTAGACGCCTAAACCCTAGACCGTGAACCCGGAAACACTAAATCCGTATAGAATCCCAAACCCTGAACCCTACCTGTGACCCCAAACCCTACAACATAGTAGGTTACGAGCCCTTAGCTAGAGGGTACGGGGTAGCACCCGTAAAACGGTAGGTTTTTGGATCCCCAGGTAACCCCTGCCCTAAACCGTAAGCTCCCTAAACCCCTAAACCCTAAACCCCAGAACCTCCTAGAACCCCTAAAGCTCGGGAGATGCAGGATTCGGCGGCCGACGACCTCCAAAACTGGGAGCCTCCGTGCCGCCACCCAGCATGGCTGGTGGTGGCCGGTTTTTGGGTTTTTGTAAGTTACCATAACTGGGTTGTTTAGAGGTTTAGGGCTTAGGGTTTCGGGTTTAGGTCCTTATGAAGGGATTTAATTTAATTTGCCATGATAAGGATCTAGAGTGATTAATATGGTTTCCTGATTGCGGTGACTTAAATTGAATCCCTTAAGAAGAACTCTGTGGCTGGTGGTACCGGTTTTGGGTTTAGGGTGTGGGTTTTGGTTCCTTCGCAAGGGTTCTTGTAAGGGTTGGGCAAACATTCTATGTGAGGGTTTGTGGCTTAGGATTTAGGTTATGGGTTTGTATAGAAGTTAAGTTAAAGCTTTAGGATTCTTTTGGGAGTTCCTATACCTGGGGTTCCTGTGCCTGTTCGATGAGGGCTCTGTGTGAGGGTTTCTGGTTTCGGATTTAGGTTTACAGCTTAGGGCTTGGGGCCTTTAAGCTGAAACTCTGGGGTTCAGCGCCTACGTTATTTTGCGTGTCGGCAGAGTGTGAGGGATCTACAAGGGGCTGGAGAAAATTCGAGGACCATAGGATTCCAAGATTTTTCGGGCTCCGAGACTCTCGGGTTTTGGTGAGTGAAAGAGCTTAGGGGTTGAGGGGTTTGTCTCGCATACCGGCGAGTAGCAGAGCCTAAGGCATTTAGCGACTGACACCCTAAACCCTAAACCTAAACGCTAAACCCTAACTAAACCCCAAACCCTAAGCCCAGAAAACTCAAAACCCCAAACCCTCAATTTAAACCCTAAGCACAGAAAACTCTAAACCCCAAACCCTCAATTTAAACCCTAAGCCCAGAAAACTCTAAACCCCAAACCCTAAACCCTAAGCCCAGAAAGCCCAAGTTTTGGCGTCAGCGGCTCTGAAGGGCTTCGGCTCGATTCCCGCGACAAGGAGGTTACCAGCTTAGAGGTCGACGAGGAATGGCCTAAACAAAAAAAACAGCTTTCTGGGTTTATATAGGATTTCAGGAGGTCTGGTTATGAACATTCCCGCCCTCATAGTCACTGTCCATATATATATATATGTATATATATATACATATAGTATATAATATATATATATACTATATGTAAATTAGAATGTATTCGAATAGACCCCACAGCCTTGTTCTAATAGCAAGAACCCTCTGCTACACCGTAGACCCCAAACATGATTTCTCCTAGCATTTCAGACACATTCTGTAACTTCGGGGTCCGGGCTTAGGGTTTCCGAAGGAACCTGAAAGGGTAGGCTGTTTGGGAGGTTCAGGTAACTAATGTAGGGTTTAGGGTTTAGGGCTGAGGGTTTAGGGTTTAGGGTAATTAATGTAGGGTTTAGGGTCAGTTTAGGGTTCAGGGTTTAGGGTAGTTAGATGTCCTCTTCCGATGGCTCTCGCCGGGTTGCGGCACTGGAAAGCTGGATCCGGTCACATGGCGGAAGCATCTGCGAAGCTGCTTCGGTGCTGGACTCTGATGGCTACCGGGGGGTCTTTGCGCGCGAGGCGGGGCAGGGTAAGTTCTTGTACAGGAATGGAGAACCGTGAACCCAAGCCTTTGGAATCTTTTGGGTTTGGGGATCTTTTGGGTTTGTGAGGTTTCAGAAGTCTTTATGTAGGGGCTAGGGCTGCGTGCTGACTCCGAAGGCTGAAAACGAAGCTTTGTCCTGCCGCCAGATCTTGAACCGAGGAGCCAGTCTACACTCCGCAAGCTGCTCTTTTCTTGCAGTTCCCCCGGTTCAAAGCCCGGCTCTAAACCCGAAACCAAGCCCTAATCCCTAACCCTAAACCCTAAACCCTAAACCCTAACCCTAAACCCTAACCCAAAACCCTAAACCTAAACCCCAAACCTAAACCATAAGCCATAAGGCACTGAACCCCCAAGCCCCAAGGCCTTCAACCATCAAGTCAATGCACTCTCTCTCTGCCTCTCTCTGTTTAGGGGTTTAGGGTTTAGGGCCTTTAGGGTCTCTGTTTAGGGGTTTAGGATTTAGGGCCTTTAGGGTTTAGGGTTTAAGTTCCCTATCAGTATATATATATATATATCTCTCTCTCTCTCTCACACACACACAAACCAAGGCCCGAGAATCGCAGCCTCCACCAGAGAGCCCAACACCGCCTAGCTTAGCCACATAAAACTTTGGGCAGTTATGTTCTAGGTGGCACTTTGCGAAACTTCCAGTTCCAGAGGTACATATTCATAAATACTTTTTTCAGGGCCCCAAAACTACAACTCAGTGTTTAGTTCATTTCAACTCAAGGTCTATTTGAGAGAAATATGGTGTCGATTCGGGTGTCAATCCTAAAGCCCTACCCAAACCCTGAACCCCTAAACCCTACACCCTAAAGCCCTCAACATTTCTAAACCCTATGAGCCCTATGATAAAAGCCCCCATAACCCCTAAATCGCTGAACCCAACCCCATGAACAAGTTCATCCTAAACCTCATAAGCCCTAAACCAGAGCCCCTCCAAGCCCTACAGTTCCAGGCCCTGTGGCCGGACATCGACTTCTGCCGCATACCTCAGAAGCTGCTGATCACCGAGAGGCTGGCCGAGGTGCCTCCTGGGCTCTTGCTAAGGGATTTGGTTTAAGGCACCATTATTAGGAGTCTATAGTAAAAATTGTGGCTTCCTTACCCAAAACCCTAATCCCTAAACCCCTAAACCCTAAACTCTAAATAACTTAAATTAAATCCCATAACAAGAACCCAGCCTCGGCGGCTGGCCTTCGGCTCGAAATTTCAGGGTTTGCCTTAACCCCGAAGAGCCTGCTTTTCTGAAAATCATAACAAGGACCCCTAAAAAGGTAGGTTCTTTAGGGCCAAGGTAGGGTTTAGGGTTGAGGCTTGAGGGTTTAAGGTTTAGGGTTTAGGGTTCAGGTCTTGGGCTGTAGGGTTCATGCTTTAGTAATTTCGGGGTTATGGGTTTTAGGGTTAGGTTCTAAGGTTTAGCGATGGGTTTAAGGTGTACGGTTTAGGTAGCTCCAGGGCTCCTTCGAGGCCTTCTTAAAGCAATGAGGGTATTGAGTTCCGTAAAAATAGGGCTCCCTTTCAGGTACTATTCGGGCTCTGCAAGAGGATCCCCTGAAGGGTTGGCCACTCGAGGGTTGCTCTGTGGGCTGCGGGGTTGGGAGCTACGGAAGTTTGGGTTTCAGGGCTAAGGGTTTCGGGTTCTACAATCACAGCAACTAGAAACCCCCTAAGCCCTCAACCCTACCCCTACCCGGCCCTACCCCAAACCCTAAGCCCTAAACCCTAGACCCTACCCCAAACCCTAAACCCCATAAGAGTTCTACAGAAGGTTTCGGGTCTGGGGCTTGGCAGGTTAATTACTGGGCTCGTGTTAAGGGATTTAATGTAAGTTACCATAATAAGGAAACCACAGTATTTACTCATTATTTACTCTATAGATCCCTATTGTGGTAACTTAAACCCTAAACCCTAAACCCCTAAGCCCCTAAACCCTGAACCCCTAAACCCTAAACCCCGAAACCCTAAACCCTAAACCCTAACAACAACCCGGATTAGGGTTCCCGGGCCGGAGACGCCGGGGGTTAGGATTTCAGGGGCGTGATGCTTGGAGTGACAGTTCTGGCGAAGTATGTCGGTTGTACCCACTCTTCGATTCTCTTATCAAGAAATATGCGGGTGTACTTGTTCTGTAATGGAATATGCAATATTTTGGATCGAACTGCAGAAAATCTTTCATAATTATGTCCGAAAATGATAGTCTTTCTCCAGCGATTGTTGAATATTGCTTTGTTACCTATCGGTTCTTCACCCGTTTTATGAACGGATCTTCCACAGTTGAACTTGAAGTTATCTGAAAAGATAGTTCACTTCAGAAAGAGCTTGTTTAAGAACCCCAAAGAATACCCGTCGAGATGCCTAAGCCCCTCAACTCTCAATGAGATGAATCTTCTATGCCCCTAGACCCTAAACCCTAAAAGCCCTAAACTCGAAACGCTGAACCCTAAACCCCTAAACCCTAAAGGCCCTAAACTCGAAACGCTGAACCCTAAACCCCTAAACCCTAAAGGCCCTAAACTCTAAACGCTGAACCCTAAACCCTATACGCTAAACCTTAAAGGCCCTAAACTCGAAACGCTGAACCCTAAACCCTATAAACCCTCCAAACCCTAAAGGCCCTAAGCCCTTAAACGCTGAACCCTAAACCCCTAAACCCTAAAGGCCCTAAACTCTAAACGCTGAACCCTAAACCTTAAACTCTCTGCACCCTGAAGGCCCTTGAACCTTAAAACGCAACTGAAGGGCATAACCTATAACCCTCTAAACCCTGAAGGCGCTAAACCCTCAACCTTAACCTCTAAACTCAAAACACTGAACCTCAAAAAGCAACTGAAGGGCGTAACCTCAGCCTCAGGGTTCCTTGACTTTCGGACAAGCGCTGCGGCAGAGCGCTGAGGAGCCTGGGCTATTGCGAGGGATCTGAGGGTTAGGGGTTTGGGGGTCTAGGGGTTTAGAGGGTTTAGGTTTTTTTTTTTAATGGGGGTTTGGGGGTTCAGGGGTGTAGGGGTTTAGCGTTTAGGGGTTTAGGGTTTAGGCTTTTAAGATATAAAGAAGGCATCCTGTCTGCAATAAACCCCCCCCAGGACGGTAGCTTCAACAAGATTCTGCAACTTGCAAAACACGCCCTGACCGTAAGCGTGTTCATTTCTCAAAAACAGAAACACCGAAAAAGCTTCGCGGCAGCCCTACCAAATGCGAGCAAGACTTCATAAAACCCTGTAACCCAGGTTCGAATTTAGGGTTAGGGTTTAGGGTTTAAAGTTTTGGGTTGTTAGGTTTAGGGTTTAGGGATCAAGTCCCACCACAAAGTTAAGCCACAAAGCTACTATCCTAAACCCGGCTGCCCGATTATCTGTTGCAGGCTTTGGGATGTTTGTGGGACCGCCCTGGGAGCAATTCATGAAGCACCATAAACCCGAGAGCCGACACCCAGAAGCCCTAAAGCCCGAATCACCGTAAAGTACCCCTTTAATGCCTCAATGAGCGCCCACGGAGCCCACTAAACCTGAGTTTGTGTTAAGACCCTTCTATCTTAAGACACCTTGGTTAGTTAAGGGCCGGTGAGACTCCATCGAAACCGTTGCAAAGGCCGACGAAACCCCACTCGAGCCTTGAGTGACCCCCTTCAAAGAACCTTATGCCTTCCTGATCCCTAAACTCTAACCCCTAAACCCTAACCCCCAAACCCTAAACCCCTAAACCCTAAACCCTGAAGGGGTGTTGGGCTCTCTGGAGTCACCCAGGAGTTGATGCCATCTGCGGCTGGTCTGCTCCTCCTCACAGCCTTGCTTCTTGGTTTATTGTCCCAGTCAAGGGTTCATTGATGGAGGTTGTGGGGTTTATTTAGGGTTTGGGCGAATTTAGAGTTTAGGATGTTTTCAGGGATTAGGGGGTTTTGTAGAGTTTAGGGCATAGTTCGGGCTTGGTTTTTTTCCCAGGATTTATGCTTATTCAGGGTTTGTGCTGGGTTTTTGGTTTAGGTTTAGTTAGGGTATAGGATTTCCCTTAGCCCGAAGCCCTGAGACTTAACTGCTTCCTAGATCAAGCAAGGCTGAGGCGAGAAACTTGGTTTGGGACTTAGCTGGGACCCTAGGAAATTGAAATTGTGGGTTTGCTCGCGGGTCTTGTTATAGGCAATAGGGTCTACAGGCTAATATAGGGTTCTTACTATTTGCCTGTAGTAGTTTGGGGTTCCTTAGTATATTGGGCCCCAAAACCCTGTTCTAACTACTAAGGCTTGTCTTTTTCTTGTCGAAGTTGCAGGTGCCATGATACACCGTGGACCCCAAACCTCTGTACCCGAAAGCAAGGCTGTTGAGGGACTCTGCTGCGGAGTCTGCACGGGCCGCGCCGGGTGTTGGTGGTGAGTGCCTGCGAAGTTGATAGCATTCCTTTTGTTGTTTTTATTGCCCATATCTTTGCCTGTTTAGGGTTTAATCAAAATAGAATTTCCGTAGCAAGAACAACCCCAGTTGCAAAAGCAACCGCAGCGACAAGTTGTGCCATCTTGGGTTGTAGCAGTATCTACGGCAGCGACAAGAGCATTGATGCGATTCTTGCAAAGTATTGATCCTCAGCCACGCCTTCCAACCCATCATCACCACAATTTTCATCATCAGTAGCAGCATCAGCATTAGAATCATGATCATCATAATCCTCATCCTCCTCATTGTCATCGTCTTCTTGACTGCCATGCGCATCATGGTCATGGTCATGCCCGTCCGGGTGACTAGATCCCTTCGCCGCGCTTATCATCGTTACTCTCACCTCCATCATTACTGCCGGCATCGCCAGGATCATCATCACGCTCGTCAACAGATACAAGGCAAGCAGCAGCAGCAGCAGCAGCAGCAGCAGCATCAGCATTATCATCCCGCCGCCGCTTCCAGCGCTACCACCACTGCTGCCATCACCAGACGGTCCTAGCGCCCACCACCAACAGATGTAACGACCACTGCACAATCTGCATCACCAAGGAGGCAACGCCGAGAAAGAAGTCGATTCAAATAAACAGCAGTAGCAACACCAGCTCTCGAAGGGTCATACAAGAGTTATTCACATAGAGCTGGAGTAAAGATTGGTCTTCCCCCGAAAGTACCCCGAAATAACAGGCCTGAAGTTGTCTTCGGGCCAAGCGCGAAAGGGCTGAGCTGAAGTAGTTATTATCTCTTCAGAAGTGTATGGTTTCCTTATTAAAGCTAAGCAACAGGAAAAAGGGTAGCATTCTGTACCCTAAACCCTAAACCCGAAACCCTAAACCCTAGACCCTGAACCCTAAACCTTAACCGTTTCATATACAGCGCTTGACCCGAAAACATGTTCAGCCTTAGAGTTGTTTAGGGCTCGGGCTTTACGGCAAACAGGGTTTAGGATTCAGGGCCCTACGCTTTTGGGTTTAGGGTTTCGGGTGCGGGGTCATGCGTTTTTTTTCGGTTTAGGGTAAGGTTCTGGGTTTAGGGTTGTAGCCAAAAGCTGTGCAGGAGTTTCTTCGCGCCCTACTACCAAGCCTTGCCAACGGAGGTGCATCAGAGGCATGAACGACAGACAGAAAGATTGATAGGGTAGATAGATAGGTAGATATATAGATGGGATAGATAATGATAGATAGATAGGTCGGTCGGTAAATTGATAGATACGGACTATAGAATTAGATGGGTAGATAGATAGATGGGTAGATAGATAGATAGATAGGTAGATAGGTAGGTAGGTAGGTAGGTAGGTAGGTAGGTAGGTAGGTAGGTAGGTAGGTGGGTAGGTGGGTAGGTAGTTAGGTAGGTAGATAGATAGATAGATAGATTTATAGAATAGGTAGACAGGTTGGTAAAATAAAGCAGATCAGATAGCTAGCCAGAACAATAGATAGCTAAAAGGATTGATTGATCGATAGATAGATAGAAAGCCAGAAGGAACCATGGAAAGAAGATAAGATAGCCAGCCAGATCGATGGACAGATAGTTAGATAGATAGATAGACAGATAGATAGATACGTAGACAGAGAGATAGACACTCAGTCAGTCAGTCAGTCAGTCAGTCAGGCAGGCAGGCAGGCAGGCAGACAGACAGAGAGATGGCTAGAGACACAACATAAAGCTAGATAGATGGATAGCTAGCTAGCGCTGGCTGGCTGGCTGGCTAGGCAGGCAGAAAAAAAGATGGATAGATACGTAGATCGGTAGCTACTGTTCTTGCACACATGAGGTGCGGCAGATGCCATCATGCTGGCCGGCCGACCACTGGCTTCATGCTGCAATCCGGGGGAGCCATCTCGAAAGACTGGTCGGGTTCTCAGCCTTGTGTTTCAGAGCCTTCGGTTCTAGGGTTTACGGTTTCGGTTTTAGGGTCTAGGGGTTTAGGGTTAGGGTTTAGGGGTTTAGGGTTTATGGTTTAGGGCTCGTAGCCTCGGGTTGGCCGGGTTTTCAGTTGTTGGGTTTAGCCTTACGTATGCGGTTTGGGCTTGTGTTACACGCAAGTATGCAAGCTGTGAGCATAAACTGTTTCTACACATGTTATATGTGTATATATGTATACTGTATACACATACAAATCGAACAGACACCCCCCATGCATTGACATGCAGAGGGAGAAAGAATGACCCCGAAATAGGGTCCTTGCAGCACAAATTATGACAAGCTTGCTTAGTCACGTGCTCCTTCATGCACAGATTCGCTGCCTTGGACACACCGATGCGCTTCTGAGTTCATGTGCACGGCTGAGCTTGTAGAGACGTGCACACGGCTTGCGGGAAATACGTGCATCATCCTATAACGCTCGGAAGCAAAAACTTGGCACTATCCAGACCTTCCAGGATCCCTTAATCAAGGAATATGCCTTAAACTGTAGTAGGATCCCTATCATGGATTCCAGGTAGATTACTTAGTTAGGGACCTTGGAATGGTCTGGGTAGAGCTCGAAAGCTAGAACATTCACACTATTCCATAAGACCTGAACCCTAAACCCTGGCCACAAAAAGAAGCCTCCACTGTATCTCCCTTTGTTGGTCTAGCCAAGTTTACATTCGGATACTATAAGGCAATCCAGAAACTCGTGGTGAACCCTCAACCCTAGAGGTCCCGGACCTGCAGCTAAAAGCCCTAAAACAGCCTTCCTTCTGGTTGCGTGACAGTGACATTTCTACTTTGGTTCTATACGGTCTGAGTGAGATGTTGCAAGGCCCAAAGGCTCCATGTACCTTCATAGTAGATACTTAGGCCTTTGAAGTACCTATATAGGGACCCCTTTAAGGCCTAAGTAGCTACTATAAAAGTACATGGAACCTTTGGGAGGTTTATATAAGCGTTTAGGGCCTTCCGAGTCTCGGGGCTTTTGGGTATCCAGGACCTATTCATTTAGGGCTTTAGGGTTTGAGGGTTTTAGGGTTTAGGGTTTTAGGGTTTTGGGGTTTTGGGTTTTAGGGTTTAGGGTTTTAGGGTTTAGGGTGAGAAGCCGCTTTTGCTTCAATCTGTATATTCCTCGATACAAACGAGACGTCGGGGTCTCCGAGAACCTACCCATGATCAGGAAGCAGGCAAATAAGTCATGGCAAGGAGCCGAAAAATAGGCAAGCAGCGTTTTGTCTTGAGGGTTAACACTGTAGGGTTTCGGGTTTCGGACTCAGGGTATAGGGTTCAGGTTTCGGGGGTTCGCGCAGGCCCGAAATCAGTAAACCCTACCCGTGACCCCAAGCCGTCCAAAATAGTAGGTTATGACCCCTTAATTAGAGGGTAGAGCCCACAAAACGGTAGGTTTTGGGATCCCCAGGTGAACCGTAAACCCTCAACCCTGAGGGCAGGTTCGAGGCTAAAGCCGGAAAATCCAAACCCCTAAACCACTAAAAACCCTAAAAACCCTAAACCCCTATATAAACCCTTAAAAACCCCTAAAACCCTAAAAACCCTAAACCCCTAAAACCTCGAAAACCTCTAAAAATCCTGAAACACCCCTAGAACCCTGTAAACCCTAAACCCCTAAAAACCCCGGAAACCTCTAAAATCCTGAAGCCCCTACAAACCCTAAACCCCTACAACCCCTAAAACCCTTACCCCTGACGGCCAGGTCAAAGCCAAGCGCCACAGCTTGGGTTTGGAGTTCTCGCTCCTCCAGAGCCCTGGCTGTGGCTTTTTAGGGGTTTTAGGGGGTTTAGGGTTGTAGGGGTGCTTAGGGGTTTTAGGGTTTAGGGTTTAGGGTTTTCGGGGGTTTTAGGGGGTTTTAAAGGGTTTAGGGTTTTAGGCGGTTTAGGGGTTTTAGGGGTGTTTAGGGGTTTTAGGGTTTAGGGTTTAGGGTTTTACGGGTTTTAGGGGGTTTTTAGGGGGTTTAGGGGGATTTTAGGGGGATTTTAGGGGTTAGGTGTTTTTAGGGGTTTTAAGGGGTTTTAGGGGTTTTAGGGGCTTTGGGGGTTTTAGGGGGTTTTAGGGGCTTTAGGGGTTTTAGGGGTTCAGGGTTTAGGGTTTAGAGTTTACGGTTTAGGGTGTAGGGTTTAAGGTGTGCTTTAATTTCGGTTAGCTTTGAGGGCCTTGGTTGGGGATTTAGGGTTTAGGGTTTAGGGTTTAGGGTTCAGGGTTTAGGGTGTTTAGGGTTTAGGGGCTTTAGGGGGTTTAGGGGGTTTAGGGCGTTTAGGGTGTTTAGGGTTTAGGGGGTTTAGGGTGCTTAGGGTTTAGAGCTTAGGGTTTTAGGGTGTAGGGTTTGAGGTGTGCTTTAATTTCGGTTGGCTTTGGGGGCGTTGGTTCGGGATTTAGGGTTTAGGGTTCAGGGTTTGGGGCTTTGGGTTTTGAGCGTTGTCTTGTTGGCTTGGTAGGACCAAAGACTGCAGCCTTGTTGGGTTTCTGTGTTTCTGATTTTCCCACAGCCCCAAACCCTTGAAACAACAAACCCTACCAGGACCCCCCAAGTGCCCTTCAAGAGAGACCTTATGGTCCTGAATAGTGGGTACAGTAGAGGGTGGGGGGGCGGGGGGAGTCTCGGCACACCCTAAACTCCCTAAACCCTAAATAAACCCTAAACCCCTACCCTAAACCCTAAACCCCTACCCT